TATACTCATTGGATCCTCGTTATTCATCATTATTCATGGATTCTGTGTTTGCAAATTCACCTACTTGTTGAATTATATTTTTAACCCCCAGATTAATACTTGTGTTGTTTTTGTGGCTACTTGCAGAGCAGCAAAAAATTTGAGTTACCAGTCATTCATCTTCCCAGATGAGGTGGGAAAAAAGCAACACTCTGCCTTCCTGTTCCAGCTGTTATACAGTAAATAAGCGTCCTTTTTGCTATTTAGTGGCATGATTTTTTCACTTTTTTTGTGCTTTTTCTTGGTGGCATGGCTGTTTAAATGGTACCATATGAAGTGCTGAAGTGTTGTCTAGTGTTTGTAAGTGCAAGAAGGCTACGCTGTACCTTTTGGAGAAAATATGTGTTTTGAATAAGCCTTATTTAGACTGTTGACCATGAGTTCAATGTTAATGAATCAACAATATAAAATAAGGTACTTTAGCAGCCGGGCATGTTAGCTTACACCTGTAAGTAATCCGAGCACTTTGGAAGACCGAGGTAGGTGGATCACTTGAGTTCAGGAGTTTGAGAACAGCCTGGCCAACATGGTGAAACCCTGTCTCTACTAAAAATACAAAAATTAGCCGAGTGTGGTGGCATGTGCCTGTGGTCCTAGCTACTCAGAGGCTGAGGCAGGAAAATTGCTTGAACCCAGTAAACGGAGGTTGCAGTGAGCCGAGATCTCACCACTTCACTCCAGCCTGGGCGACAGAGTGAGACTTCATCTCAAAAATAAAATAAAATAAAAGAAGGTACTTTAAAGAGAAACACACATTAAACAAGATTATATATTGATCAGTTGATGAAAATGTTGTGACCAGAGGCTTACAGGAACCTAACCTTGTATTTCTCATATTTGCTAAGTGGTTCAGTATTGGCTAATTCAGTGTTTGCAGTGACATGGTAGAACATAACTATTGCTATAACCAGAATCGATTGTATATCGTGGTAGCTAATCTCCAAAATGGCCTCCAGTGAGCCAAGGCTCTTGGTGTTTCCATGCTAGTGTAGTCCCTTTCCACACTGAATTATGGCTGGTTGACTCTATGTCAGCAATAGAATACAGTGGATGGTGATGATTTGTGACTTCTGAGGCTGGGTCATGAAAAGAATTACAAACTTCTGCCTTGGTACTTGGATTGTTCTTTCTGGAGGAAGCCAGCTGTTCCACTGTACCCAGAGGATGTCTGTATAGTCCTGTGGAAAGGCCCACCTGGAGAGGAACTTAATATCCTGGCTGAGGTATAGTAAATTTTATGTTTGGTCTTTGTCTGTGTTCCTGGCACAGAGTTCCTCGGATTCATGGAGTTTCCTGAGTGTTAGGAGAGTGTTTTGTTAGTCATAAGAAGTTCCTTTTGATTACACCTAAATTTATGCTGGTGAGGTGACTTAGAGTGGAGCCACTGAATTGCCTTAGGATGTGGTTGGTCACCAGACAGACCATGTGATTAGAGGATGGAAATTTTCAGTTTCACTAACCAACCTCTTGGGGAAGTAGAGGCTGGAGATTGAGTCCTATAGGAGCTCTTCCTTAAGCAGCAGTGTTGGGTGAACTGGATTGAACACATGGAGGTACTGGGAGGTTGGTTCACATGGAGAGGGCATGGGAACTGTGTGTCCCTCTTCCCTATCTTAACTTGCCCTATGCATCTCTTTCACTTGACTGTTCTTGGGTTGTATCTATTATAATAAACCGTAAATATAAGTACAGTATTTTTGAGTCTTTCTAGCAAACTACTGAGCATAAAGAGGTTGTTGTGGAGACCCCTGATTTATAGCTGGTCAGTCAGAAGTATGGGTAGCCTCTCCAGGACTTGCGACGGATGCCTGCAATTAGCCAAGCGTGATGGCAGGCACCTGTAGTCCCAGCTACTTGGAAGGCTGAGGCAGGAGAATCACTTGAGCTTGGGAGGCGGAGGTTGCAGTGAGCCGAGATTGCGCCACTGCACTCTAGCCTGGCAACAGAGCTAGACTCCTTCTTAAAAAATCAAAACAAAACAAACACCTTTTTTGGTAGAAAATTTTATACATACACAAAAGTGCAAAAGTGGAGAAAATAATGAGTCCTATGTAACCATTACTCAGCTTCCACGGTGGTCAACTCATGGCCAGTCTTGATTCATTTGAACTGTTTACTTTCTAGTCACACCCTTTCAGATTATTTTGAAGCAAATCTCAGACATTATTTCAGTAAATAATTCAGTATATATATCTAAAAGATAAGGACTCAGCACAACATCTTTATTCTATCCCTCCAAATTAATAATCATTTCTTAAAAATAATATCCAATAAATATTTATTTCCCCTATTGTCTTACAGTTTAATGTATTTGAATGTGATGCAGATTAATTTCATATATTTTGGTAATTGTTATATTTCTAGATCTCTCTTAATTTATAGATTCTTTCTCTCTCCCAACCCCTTTTTTGTAATGTTTTGTCAAAGAAACAGGGTTGATTATCTTGTATAGTTTCCCATAGTCTAGATTTTGCTTATTTTATCCTTGTGGTATCATTAATATGTTCATCTTGCTCCCTGCACGTTCTCTGTTTGTAGTTAGATCTGCAAGCTTAATCTGATTTAGACATTTTTTGGTAAGATGACTTTAAAAAAAATAAGCTTTATTGAGGTGAAATGTACATAATATTTAATATAAAATACACTGGTTTTAAGTGAACTATGTATAGTTACTATAGTTACAGTTTTACAACTGTTACAGCAGTCTAATTCAATATAACATTTTGATTACTCTGAAAATAAACTTTGTGCCTATTTATAGTAAGTCCTTATACTCACCCTCAGACCTAGACAACCACTAATCTACTTCTGTCTTTATAAATTGGCTTTTTGGGGATTCTTAATATAGATGGAATCATACAATATGTGTTCTGTTGTATCTGGCTTCTTTCACTGAGCATAGTTTTGAGGTTCATCCATGTTGTAGCATGTGTCAATGACTGGTTCTTTCTTAATGCTGAATAGTATTCCATTGTATGAATACACTGTATTTTGTTTGGCCTTTCACCAATTAATACACGTTTTTGGCTAAGAATAATGCTACTGTAAACTTTGGTGTATAAATTTTTGTGCAACACAAGTTTTTATTTTTCTTGTGTATATAAACATCGAGGAATTAAATTGCTAGATAATGTAATTCTATGATTAACATTTTTTTTTTTTTTTTGAGATGGAGTTTCGTTCTTGTTATCCAGGCTGGAATGCAATGGTGTGATCTTGGCTTACTGCAACCTCCGCCTCCCAGATGCAAGCAATTCTCCTGCCTCAGCCTCCTGAGTAGCTGGAATTACAGGCACCGGCCACCATGCCCGGCTAATTTTTGTACTTTAGTAGAGACGGGGGTTTCACCATGTTGGTCAGGCTGGTCTCGAACTCCTGACCTCAGGTGATCCACCTGCCTCAGCCTCCCAAAGTGCTGGGATTACAGGTGTGAGCCACCATGCATGGCCTGATTAATGTTTTTTTGTTGTTTGTTTGTTTGTTTTTTTAAAGAGATGGGGTCTTGCTCTGTACTTCAGGCTGGAGTACAGTGGCACCGTCATGGCTCACTGCAGCCTTGAACTCCTTGGCTCCAGTGATCCTCCCATCTCAGCCTTTTAAGTAGCTGGGACTACAACCATGCGTCACCACATTTAGCTAATTTTTAAAATTTTTTGTGGAGACGGGTCTCCCTGTGTTGCCCAGGCTGGTGTTGAACTCCTGGGCTCAAGCAATCCTCTGGTCTTGGCTTCCCAAGTGCTGGGATTACAGCAGTGAGCCATACTGCCTGGCGTATGATTAATTTTTTAAGGATCTGCCAAACTGTTTCCAAAGTGGTTGCACTGTTTTACACTCCTATCAGCAATGTATCAGTGCTTTACTTTCTTCACATCTGTGACAACGTTTGTTAATGTATAACTTTTATTATAACCATTCTTTTGGGTGAAGAATGATATTAAATTGTTGCTTTAATTTGCATTTCCCTGATGACTAATTAAGTTGAACATCTTTGCATGTGCATGTTGGCCATTCATATCTCTTCTTTGAAAAAACATTGCAAGAGCACATCTTAAGTTATTGTGTACTTCTGTTGGGGGCACATAGTGTATGCTTGTCTCTTTTTATTGGGATATCAGCCATTGGTATAATAGATTTATTATTATTATTATTATTATTATTATTATTATTTGAGAAGGAGTTTCACTCTTGTTGCCCAGGCTGGAGTGCAAGGGTGCCATCTCGGCTCACCGCAACCTCCGCCTCCTGCATTCAAGCGATTCTCCTGCCTCAAACTCCTGAGTACCTGAGATTACAGGCATGCGCCACCGTGCCCAGCTAATTTTGTATTTTTAGTAGATACGGGGTTTCTCCATGTTGGTCAGCCTGGTCTTGAACTCCTGACCTCAGGTGATCCACCCGCCTCGGCTTCCCAAAGTGCTGGGATTACAAGTGTGAGCCACCATGCCCGGCCAGATTAATAATTATTAATTAAAGGAGAGTTTGGGTATATAATCTAGCTATAGTACCAGGAAATAGGATTTTGATTCTGTATTCTTCTATTGCCCCCGGGGTCATTAGAAAATACTCTAATATTCCAAAATTCTTGGACATACATATTATTCTGATCTAGACTAAATTCTGAGTATCATCAAGTTTCATGCTGTTTGTCTTCTAATAAAAATTTTAAATTATTATTTATGTACATTTCCCCTGATAAACTTACCCTTTATTTTAAAAATTTAAGACATTTTTAGAAAGTTTTTTTTTTACCCCTGAAGAACATAGCTCACTCAGTACTTTATAAACCAGCAAAAAAAAAAAAAGTATGATGTTGACATCCTATTGTTATAATTTATGTTGCCTTAAAAAAAAAATCGGTTACTGTCTTCCAGGGAACTTTTTTAGCCAGTTCTAAAGCAGCCTCCTACATCTTTTGTGATGTAGGAGACATATCTTGCTGGATCACTGTCGTCTTGCCAGTCTTTTTTTTTTTTTTTTCCTTTTTCTTTAGAGAGTATGCCGAATATGTTGGAATTTCTCCCTCTGTTCTACTGAAAGCCCCCATGAATGACTTTACCATAGATGACTATCAACTGACTGGGTGTACTCTACAGGACTTTGCTGAGAATATTACACCTCTGTCTTTGCAAGGAATAATTTAGTTAGGCTCTATAACATCTATATCCAAGTTGTTACAGAGATTCTTAGAACCAAGATCCCATCTCCTTCCCAATAATTAGTAATCTGCTATTTGAGTTTATAGTTTCCAGAAACCTGTTGTAAAACAATGTTTGCTTGCTCATCTCCCCCCAAAACCCCAAACCTTCTATTTCTTGCCTTGTTTAATGATTACTAGGTATTTAATTGTAAAGGGTATTTTAAGAAGTTCTGTTCAGGTAATATTTATTGCACAGCTGGGAGCTTATAATTGCTATGCAGTAATAGAAACTCACAGCTCGAGAATTTCTAACTGGAAGTTTAAAAATGATTTAATTTGAAGCAGATTAAAGATAAATTAAGCTACCATATTAATCAGTATTTGCTGCTGAAAGCTTATACTTGAATGCAGAGAAATCAAGCTATTGCTTTAGGAACAATGGTGATTTAAATTATTGTTTTTAGAATTCTCTCTCATTTATTTGAATTTATTTTTCACTTTATATGCTATAAAAATTATCTCTAAATAAGGATTAATTGTGTGATTTCTACCCTTTCCCCCTTCACATTATATCAGGTAGTTCTAGAATACATAGGAGCAATGTGTTGGTTTAATGGATTCCTTATAAACAATAAACTATGAATATGATATGAGTGTCAATGTGACACTTTGGTTGTTATAATAGTAAGTTATGGGTGAGACTAGGGAAGATGTATATTTTCTGTGTCAGAATGTCAGCTGTGCTCAGATGCATATTTTTTATTTGAAAGAAATACACATGAAAGTGTATATATGAGTCACAAACTTCAACTAAAGTATATACTTCTTTTTGAACCACTCAATAATTCTAGTGATGCATTTTTAGATGGCAGACATTTAACGTGACCTGTTGAGTAGATAGAGAACAGAGAAAATGAGCTAAAGACATGAAATATTATTACACTTTCTAATAAATATTTTTTTAAAAACACAGTGATTAAGGTCAGTGTTAAAAGCCTGATACAGTGATATACTTAGGTACATAATACTCATTAAAATAGAAGCAAATATGATATTAGGATAGGTTGAAAATGTGGTTATGTATAAAATCCTTGGCAGTGTTTGGCAGTGTCATTTAGTGAGTGCCCAGATCAATAATGTATTATTCAATCTATAAATCAGCAGTTTTATTTAGTCTAAATACCTACTTAGTTGTATAACTTATTCTTATAATACCTGACATTATGGGTAACCTCTTTTGTTTAGTGTTAGTACACATTTGGTGGGCCTTGACTGTCATAAAAATAATATTTTTAAACATTATATATTGACTTCCTGAACTCTCTTCTGCATATGGAACTGAATTTTCTATGTTCTATTTCCTGAGTCTTGATAATTTTGATCTATTGCATTTTGGCACTTCAGCCCTAGACCACTGACAGTGTTTTTTAGAGTAGGGACTTGGTCTGGCAGTAGTCTAAGTATTTTTACTGTGCTGTGCCTTATGGAGGAGCCTCCTGGGGATCCTAGATTGCCAAATGCTTCTGTGGACCACTGCACAGCCAAAGCTTGGAATTTGTTTAACAGTGGTGTCCATCTACTCAGACTTTCCCCATGCCCTTCCTTTTCTGTCACACCTCTGCCATTTTACCACCTAGGTTTTGCCCTTGTGTGGAGTGGGGAATTGTCAGTGGGAGGACTGTAGGCTGTAGGAAGGAGAAATACCTGATTCTAATTCCCAAGGCTACAGGGAGTTGGGGTGCCTATGAGGGTTATCTGCTGCTCCCTGGGTTGCTGGTTTAGAGTAGGGGTGGTGTTCAGGTAGTTAATAGTGCTCTCAGAGCAATAATTAGGGATTTGATTATATCTTTTAACTCCTTGAGTACATAACGACCATTATTGCATGTAAATCTGTTAGGTAAGAAGTCTGTTTTTAGACTTGCGTACATTCACCCTTCAAGTACATCTTTGGAAATACTAAGTATAAAAGTAGAAAACAGTCAATATTAAATGATACTTTTCTACAGAGTTTATTATTGCTACAAGGTTTGTATATAAGGGGCAAAAGTAAAGGAGTTACCATTAAAAATATCAATATTTTATTCACTTGCTCATTGGTAACTGGTTTCAACCCTACACATCTCATGTGAAAATGACATTTAAAAAAAACACCTTCTTGCTAGGATTGCTCTTCATCTTCTATTGATTATCAGTTGGTGATTTTAGAAAATGGGTTCAGCAGATTAGTGGCCAGTGGATGTATTTTGTTTGACTGCTTTGTTATGTTTTTACAATATATATCAAGAGACCAGGTTAGGTAGGCAGGTATATACTTGGTTGCAAAACCACTTTATTCTCTATTTAACTCACAGCATGTATTTTATTTTAATTACAAGGCCCCATTTGCATTTTTGAGTTTGCAGCCTTCCTTTAAAAGAACGGAGGATGTGCATCATAGTATAGCAAAGGAATAGGCTTTGGAATTAGATCAACTTGGGTTCAAAATCCTGTTCTGTCTCATACCTTGTGTGTCCTTCAACAAAGTAGTTGACCAAGTCTTATTTACCTAATTTGCAAAATAGGGAAAATATTATTTTTGAGGATTAAGTGGGACAATTTATATGAAGCACCTAGCATGTAGTAAGTACTCCATAAATGGTAGTGAATCTTAGACCAACTTGGGTTCAAAATCCTGTTCTGCCTCATACCTTGTGTGTCCTTCAACAAAGTAGTTGACTAAGTCTTAGTTACCTAATTTGTAAAATAGGGAAAATATTATTTTTGAGGATTAAATGAGATAATTTATATGTAGCATCTAGCACATAGCAAGTACTCCATAAATGGTAGTGATTCTTATTGTAGACAAAGCTAATAGAAGAATCTTTAGTGTTATGGCAGTTTTCTTAAAATATTGGAAGCACCTATTATTTTGATCCCTCATGTTTTCTCCCCTTGTAATTCAAATCCCTAAGTTGCTCTTTGTTGAAATATGTAAATGGACTTCTCTCTTAAAATTTATTTGATGCTTATTCTTCTTAGGAGAAAAATATGTGCCTTGTAACTTTCTTTTAATAGGTATCAATCACTCTGATATTTGTGAGGCTAAAAGGCATGAGACAAATATACTTTATGCAAATATTAAAGTATTGTGATAGAAATGTTTCTTGATGACTTCTAGATGCTCAGGCTTAAATCCAGATTACTGGATAATATTTACCCTGAGAGCTCAAAATACAGTCTTATAGAGGTTTTGGTTACTTTGGAACCAATAAGGTAAAATATAATTTGAATTTTAGAATAGAAATAACAAATAATTTAGGAATTATTTTTAGAAAATAAAATAGTTTTAAAAGTGAATGTGTAAGCTTGTACTGTTTGGTCTTTCCAACTTAATTGTGCAAATTGGTATCATACTGCTTAGCTTGGTTTTATTTTTGAATTCTTTATCTTTTCATATGTTAGTCTTTTTTATTTAGCATGCATATCATTGACACAAGAAACATTGCTAATGAGGTGATAACACCTAGCATCCATGTTGATGCTGTATCTCTTTACTGTCATGTATATATCTACTCTTAACTAGGCTGGTCACGCAGTATAGAAGGGTAGACCTGACATATCTTATTTCAGAGTAGTGCCAAGGCTATCTCTTGGCTCTCCAGTCTGCTTACAGCATAGCAGTTTCTGATGCCCTAGAAAATAACATAACACAAAATGATACAGGGAAAGTGTTTGAAAACAAACTGATTTATACATCCACTTGTTCTTTTCTAAAATGCTCTCGCTTATTAGACTATTATTGAAAAACAAGAAACTTTTGTTTTTGTTTTTGCTCTTCTGCATATATTCCATAAAATACTACTGTGGGCCGGGCGCGTTGGCTCACGCCTGTAATCCCAGTACTTTGGGAGGCCGAGGTGGGTGGATCACCTGAGGTCAGGAGTTCGAGACCAGCCTGGCCAACATGGTGAAACCTGGTTTCTACTAAAAATACAAAAATTAGCTGGGTGTGTGGTGGCGGGTGTCTGTAATCCCAGCTACTTGGGAGACTGAGGCAGGAGAATCGCTTGAACTCGGGAGGCAGAGGTTGTAGTGAGCTGAGATTGAGCCACTACACTCCAGCCTGGACTATAAGAACAAAACTCTGTCTCAAAAAAAAATAATAATAATGAAAACAAATAAATCTATTGAGTCAATCTTTATTAATCCTATCTAATGAAGAAAAGATCAGACAGATATTGAAAGCCTGACTTATGGAACAGTGTGAAAGAAACGTAGCTTAATTATTTTTAATAATGTTCAGGATTGGTCTCCAACCGGAGAAGCAGGATGGAGTAGTAAGCAGGCTTCTTTTTAAGAGAGCGAATTTAAACTGGGTGAGACTTGTATTAAGCATGCTCATCACTCAGAATGATTTTCCGAAAGATTTTGAGACTTCTGACCCTAATAGTGTTCCATTTGATTTTATAAACTCCGTTTTCTCTCTGATTGCTTCTCTGGCCTCTTCTTCCTCTTTATTCCACATAGGTGAGAGTTCCCCCAAGTGTCTGTCTTGCTGTTTTCTCTTTTCTTTCTCTTTTTACTCACAGAGTTTTCTAACACTTTTTTTCCCTCAAATACTTAAAAAAAAGATATAAATATGGTACCTTTTTTTTCTTTTAAAACGTACAATTAAGTAGTTTTTAGTACTTTGTACAATATCTTTTGCAACAATCACTACCGTCTAGTTCCAGAACTTTGATCACCCTGAAGGGAAACCCCTTGTGCATGGTCATTGTTCATTTCCCCTCCACCAGGCCCTGGCAACCACTAATTTACTTTCTGTCTTTATGGAGTTGCCTACCTACTCTGTACTTTTCACATAAATAGAATCCTACAATATGGCCTTTGTGCCTGGCTTCTTTCACTTAGCATAATATTTTCAAGATTCATCCATATTATTTCATTTTATGGCTGAATATCATTCCAGTCATTATTTGAATATTACACTTTCATCAGTTGATGAACATTTGGGTTTTTTCTACCATTTGACTATTATGAATAATACTGATATGAACATTTGTGAACAAGTTTGTTGTTGACACATTTTCAGTTTTCTTGGGTGTATGCCTAGGAATGAAATGTCTGGGTCATGTGGTAACTCTGGACTTAACATTTTGAAGAACTGCCAAATGCACCATTTTATATTCCCACCAGCAATGAATAAGGATTCCACTTTTTCCACATCCTTGTCAACACTTCTTATCATCTGTCTTTTTTATTATAGCCTTCCTAGTGGGTGTGAAGTGGCATCTCTTTGTGGTTTTGATTTTGTATTTCCTTGGTGACTAATAGTGCTGTGTATCTTTTCATGTGTTTGAGACACTGGGTGTCTTCTTTGAAGAAATGTCTTCAGATTGTTTGCCATACTTAAATTGGGTTATTTGTCTTTTGATTGTTGATTTGATTTATTTTATTTATTTATTTATTTATTTATTTATTTATTTTTAGATGTAGTCTCGCTCTGTTGCTGAGGCTGGAGTGCAGTGGTGTGATCTCGGCTCACTGCAAGCTCCGCCCCCGGGTTCGTGCTATTCTCCTGCCTCAGCCTCCCGATTAGCTGGGACTACAGGCGCCCGCCACCACGGCCGGCTAATGTTTTGTATTTTTTAGTAGAGATAGGGTTTCACTGTGTTAGCCAGGATGGTCTTGATCTCCTGACCTCATGATCCGCCTGCCTCGGACTCCCAGAGTGCTGGGACTACAGGCGTGAGTCACCACGCCTGGCCTGATTGTTGATTTATAAGATTTATTTATATATATGTATATATAATATGTATATTTTATATATGTATATATTATATATATTTATGTATATATATATTTTTTGAGACTGAGTCTCTTTCTGTCACTCAGGCTGGAGTGCAGTGGCGCAATCTCAGCTTACCACAACCTCCGCCTCTTGGGTTCAAGTGATCTTCCTGCCTCAGCCTCTCAAGTAACTAGGATTACAAGTATGAGCCACCATGCTCAGCTAATTTCTGCATTTTTAGTAGAGACAGCGTTTTACCATGTTGGCCAGGCAGGTCTTGAACTCCTGACCTTAGGTGATCCACCCGCCTCAGCCTTCCAGTGTGCTGGGATTATGAGCCACTGTGCCCAGCTGAGATTTCTTTATATATACTTGATACAAGAACCTTATCAGATACATGATTTGAAAAACATTTCCTCCCTTTTGCAGATTTTTACACTATGTTTGTTTTTTATTTTCCTAGATGGAGTCTTGCTCTGTTGCCTCAGCTGGAGTGCAGTGGTGAGGTCTCGGCTCACTGAAACCTCCACCTCCTGGGTTCAAGCAATTCTCCTGCCTCAGCCTCCCGAGTAGCTGGGATTACAGGCGCATACCACACCCGGCTAATTTTTGTATTTTTAGTAGAGGCGGGGTTTCACCATGTTGGCAGGCTAGTCTTGAACTCCTGACCTCGTGATCTGCCTACGTCAGCCTCCCAAAATGCTAGGATTACAGGCATGAGCCACTGCGTCTTTCTTTACACTTTCTTGATGTTAGCTTTTGAAGGATATATTTTAAATTTTTATGAAGTCCAGTTTCTTTTTTCTTTTTTCTTACATGAGCTTTTTTGTGTCATAGCCAGTAAACCATTACCTATTCCAAGGTCAAACAGAATTGTGCTTATGTTTTCTTCTAAAAGTTTTCTAGTTTTAGCATATATATTTAGGTCTTTGATCCTGTGATAAGTCGGTTTTTGTATATGGTGTGAAGTAGGATCTAACTTTATACTTCTGCATGTGGATATCCTATTAACCCAACATCATTTATTGAAAAGACTGTTCCCAAATTTGTCTTGGCCCCTGTGTCAAAATCGATTGCTCACAAATGTATGAGTTTACTTTAATTTTTATGATCTATATGTCTATCCTATGTTTGTACCATATAATGTTAATTATTGTAACTTTGTATTAAGTTTTGAGATTGGAAAAATGTGACTACTCTAACTTTGTTTTTCTTTTTCTAGGTTGTTTTAGCTATTTGGAGGCCCTTGTCATTCCCTATAAGCTTATCAATTTGTGCATAATAAAACAATTTGAGATTTTAATAGAGATTTTGTTTAATTTGTAGATCAATTTAGGGAATATTGCCTTTATAACAACATTAAACCTAGTAATCCATAAATAGAGATGTCTTTTCATTTATTTAGGTTTTTCTTGCAATGTTTAGTAGTTTTCAGGATACAAGTCTTTCACTTGTTTTGTTTATTCCTAAGTATTTTATTCATTTTCTTGTTTTTGTTTAAGAAAGGGAAAGTAATAAAGCATATATGACAAAATGTGAACACTTGGGGAATCTGGATGAAGAGTGTACAGGAATTATTTGTACAATTCTTTCAACTTTTTTATGTGTCTGAAACTGTTTCAAAATAAAAAGTTAAAAAACTGTATAAAAGGAAGGTAGGACAACTGATAGACATAGAAATTAGCTCTAGGACTCCCAGTACTCATTACTGACATCAATTTTTATTTCTAGGGGCTGGTCAGAAATGCGGTACTTTTCTGAGTTCAGGACTCCAATTATAACATGTTATTTCCATTTTTGCAATCATCATTATGCCAGCAATCAGACAGATTAATGTCTTTTAATTCCTATTATTGAAAAAGCTGGTTAATTCCAAATGGAACAGGCCCAAAATCTTCAGGGGAAATGTATTTAATTTTTAAGCATCTCAGCAAGAATTACAATGATAATTAGCATTTGTGTGTGTGTGTGTGTGTGTGTGTGTGTGCATGCATGTTTTAAACTGTGTTTCCCCTTCCTTGCTCTAAATGGTTTCCTGAAAATAAACTATCAGTAAATTTGTGGATGTCATTTTCTTCTGTGCATAAAGAATTTTTTTCTTTGTTTTAAAGGAGGGAGAAATATATATTGCTGGATATTAAGCATGGTATTAAAAGCTTTCTTGAGTGGTGATATAGTTGATAAATTACCTATTTTGGTGGAGTGATATGTTGTCAATTTTCACTGATTTTTTTCCATTTCTTGAGACCACAGTTTTAAGTTTTTCAGAACACATACTTTGTTCTTCAAACGTGTGTGTGTGTGTGTGTGTGTGTACAGTGGGTCCTCTGTATCTGCTGCAGATTCTGAGTCTGTGGATTCAACCAACTATGAATTGGAAAAAAACAATAAAAAGAAAACGTTATAACACTAAAAAATAATACAGAAAAAAATTATATAACTATTTACATTGCATTTATATTATATTAGTTATAAGTAATCTAGAGATGACTTAAAGTATACAGGAAGATGTAGGTTACATGCAAATACTGTGCCAATTTATATAAGGGTCTTGAGCACATGGATTTTGTTATCTGAGAGACATCCTGGAGCCAATCACCCACAGATATCAAAGTACAACTGTACGTGCGTGTGTATACATATATATGTGTGTGTGTATCTGTAGTTACACATATATGTGTATATATGTCTATAGTTACATATGAATGTATATATACAGTTAGCCCTCTGCATCTGTGAGTTCTGCATCTGTGGATTCAACCAACCAAAGAGCAAGTATTCAGGAAAAAAGCTGCACCTGTACTTATCACGTATGCACTTTTTTCTTCTCATTATTCCCTAAACAATGTAACTATTACATAACATTTACATTGTGTTAGATATTATAAGTAATCCAGAGATGATTTGAAGTATACAAGAGGATGTGCGTAGGTTATACAGCAAATTCTATGCCATTTTATGTCAGAAACTTGGGCATTTGTGGATTTGGGTCTTCAAGGGAAGTCCTGGAACTAATCCTTCAAGGATGCTAAGGGATGACTGTACATATACATGTACACATGTACACACAAATGCAAACACAATATATTTTATTTAGGAATGGTGGACATGGTGATTGAGTTTTTTT